TGGCAAGTTTGCTTTTGAGCAATGCCAAATGGGAATTTAGTAGTAGGCTTGCTGCTTCGTACGACTCGACTTAACAGTTGTTGTTTTCATTCAATTTTACAGGTTACTCTGAGGCAGGCAACAAGTAGAACACTTTTTTTTTGAAGTCTACGTAAATCATACAAAATCCAGAGCAAAGATGAGCGGCGAGCGTCCGAAGCGTCCATTGTCAGCGTACATGCTGTGGCTGAACGAGAACCGCGAACAGATCAAAAAGGAAAATCCCGGCAGCAAGGTCACAGATATAGCCAAGCGAGGCGGCGAGCTGTGGCGCGGCTTGAAAGACAAAACTGTAAGTAAAATTCTCTGATTTGCAAACATTTTACAGATTTTCTAAAATATTTCTTTTTATATGTTGCATTTAGGAATGGGAACAGAAAGCCATCAAAATGAAGGAGGATTACAATAAGGCGGTAAAGGAGTATGAGGCAAATGGCGGCACCGATTCCGGTGCGCCCAAGAAGCGAAAGAAGATGGCCGCCAAGCCCGCCAAGAAGGCCAAGAAGAAAGAGTCCTCCGAGGAGGACGATGACGACGAGAGCGAGTAAATACACACTGGCCGCGTTCGCATCAGTTTTAAAATACATTTTACTAATGTAATTTTTTAAGTGACATAAAACAAATGAAAACAAATTAAGAAAACAGAAAAAAAAACTAAAAAAAAAAAACAAAACAAACAAAAAAACAAAACCTTAAACCTTTAAATATGCACTTAAACAAACAAAAAACAAACAACAACAACAAAAACACACCAAGAACCCTAATATAAGTTAAAAATATAATTTTCAGTCAAACACAAACAAAAAACAACAAAAAAAAACATAAAAACAAAAAACTAGCAACTGTTTCTTTATAGGTTTATACGCATGTATGTATGTATGTATCAACAGCAACTATTTCATTCGAATGCGTTTCTCAAATTCCTCATACGCCAGGTCGGCCTGGCCACACATCGTTGCATCTGTAAATTGAGGTTTATTATTTCTTATTTTTACATTTTTATTTTATTTTCATTTGATTTTTTTTTTCGTTCTTTCACGGCATCTAATGTAAATGTTTATGCATAGCGTTCCACAGTTTTGTAGGAGAGGCGCTGGGTAAAATCATCTCATGATGCGCAGACTCCAGAGAATTAATCGATTCGCCGTTGTTTGCGTCCAGCGCTATCCTTATTCGTCCTTTTAGCAGACGTTCTCACTTTAATTACATACAATTAATACAAGTTTAAAAACCACAATCCAACAAGTTATATATACATTTTAATATATACATAAGTATATATATGTAATTTAAAAGATAAAAAAAAAACAAAACCAACAAAAACAAATATGTAATTGTAAATGTAGAGCTGAACGGAATATTATTTAAAAATATATAAATAAAAAAAAAATTTAAAAACTTTAATGATGTGTTTCAATGGTTAGTAAAAAAATATAT